ATGATTTATGTTTTACATTTACAGCAACAATAAACAATTAAGTTCACACATCATACCTTTACAAGATTTTCTTCTGAATAAGTGTTGTTAATAATAAAAATAATCACTGCAAAAAAATTGTCACTGTAAAAAATCACAATTATTAGATACTTTGTGCAAGACATTTTTATTTACATACAACATATTCTAACACATAACATAATAATCTAATGTATTAATTAAATCACTTTATATAAATATACAAACTATATAGAACATATTTATCTGAACAGTATAAATATAAACAATTTTATATACAGAACATCCATTACCCTGCGAAAGTGAGTATTCTGCTCCTTATACTGTTTAATAATGTAACATCTTTTGAATATTTTGCTACACTATCGAAAAGAACATAAACAGATTTTCTTTTGGTTAGTAAATTAGCTTCAATTTCACGAAAAACTTGCAAAATATTATGTCTATTACAAGATAACAATTCAAAAAGTTGTTCTTTTTTGTTATCAGTTGAATATATCTTCTCTATGTTTTGCCACAAATCAGAAGTAGCATTTACTAAAATTAAACTTTGGCAGTAAATCCATTTCTGCCAACTTGGCAAAAGTCTACAATTTTAAAACATAATTGTATATAAATATATGTGTACATAAAACTATAATTTATAAATATAAATAGTTTATGTTACTATATATGTAATTATTTTGTAGTTAAGTTTCTTTACAGAATACTTTACTTGCAAGTTTTTATTTTTCTTACAATATTATAATACTGTGTCAAGACTCACGTCACAATTATTCAATATATAATACTTTTTTAGCAAGAGAACGTCATACAAAGCAGAAAAACGTACTTGTTTTTTACAGGATTTTCTAAATGCCACATTAATATAGCATTAACATGTTCTTCGCATTTTACACCATCAAGAATACACGTCCATTTTACAAGTTCATGATATACTTGATTACTCATACTATTTTCAGAAAAGTTTTTATGTGATGTATCCTCAAGAAAGATATTCAATAGTTTAAGGATTTTAGTCTGAAAAAGTGTAAAATATACTTTTATAGTATATTTTATGATATATTTATAATTCTTCATTTTATTTAGCAGTTTTTTGTTTAGTAATATTTATGGAAAAATTATTTTTTCTTATTTAATAAGTGTTATGTTTCAATAATACTGTTTATACATATATCCGCAAATCCTTTCTATTTTCTTGTTTTTAAAAAACCACATATATAATATATATTTAAATACAAAGTAACAAAAATGTAATATTTTCTTTACTCAGAATGAGATACTCAGGTGTTCCGATACTTTTTTTTTACTCTGTATATTTAAATGCAAAGTAACAATGATGCACTATTTTCTTCAATTTATACTAATTACTTATTACATATTTGCAATGTGCAAGGTTTTTGTTTTTAATTAATTATACTGTAATGCTGTGTTAGTTAGTTTGTATGTTTACGATTTCTGTCTATTGTTTATGCATTATTTTTAATGTATTGTTTTGTTTATGTGAACGACTTGAAAAAAATAGATGTAGAAAAACGTTTAGTATAAAATGTCTTAAAAATATCTCACTGATGTTTTTTATCATTCCGTTGTTGGTCTTTTGGCTTTTCAATTATGTATTTGTTGTAATGCATTGTAATATTTACCTTCATAAATGCAGTTTCTGGATACGGAAAAATCTTTGATATATACTGTAAAGCAGTAAGTACAGGATACCAGGTTATGTACGAATTTTTCATGTAAACTATAATATTGCTTGCAAGATTAAAAAATATTTCTATATTATTATTTTTTGCAGCTGGATGTACATTATACTTTGTATTTTGTATTAAGAAATAAAAAGCATCATCGAGAATGTGTGCTAAAGTGACGTCAGATAATTCGTTTACATTCCAAATCTCAGGTTTTTCACTTTTCAGAAAGAGAGCAATATTCTCCAACGTTTTATGATCATAGTTGACGCGATATCCTACAACAATTGGTTTATACATAAATATTTATTTAAATAAACAGAAAAACAAATAGCGTTATTAATAAAAAAATGTTAATAAAATGCTTTAATATACTATATATAAAATAAATAGAATAAAAATTTCACACCGTATCTTTGTTTTTGTATTACCATTGTGCGCCGTGATTATGATAAAATCATCTTCAATATTCGCGATAAAAAAACTTTTTCCGTTTGGTTTTAGGTACACATAATTAGTACTATACTTTTTTCTCGATATTTTGAAATAGATTACAGGTATCCACCACTTATATGCACACAAGTTTTTTTGTTTAACCGCAACACAATCTTGAACCTTAATTTCTAGAAATTGTGTATCAAGTTGTACACGTTGTACTTGTACCACAGGATACCCATCATGTGTTATCCATGAAGTTATTACATTTTTTATATTTATATTTTTCACATAGATGTCGTCATTTATGGTCGGTACAAAAGTTAAATAGTCCCATATATTTTTGAAAACAGACTGGTCATTATATGTCTCACTTGATGTACTGCTATTAATGACAACAGATAACAAAACAAAAAATACATTGGTGTTAATTGTCTTAAATATTATGAAATAAATATTTCAAGTTTTTTACACGTTATGTATAAAATACTGTTTAATCCTAAACTTTCTTACTTTTTATGATCACTGGTATAATACTCAACTTCAATACTCACGTGTTATATGTATGTACCGCTTTCTCGAAAATAAAGTTATAAAAAACATCTTGTTTACGGAATAAATTATTCATCATATAGAAAATAGTGAATGCTAAAACATAATTTGGAATGTGTAAATAATATCAAAGTATAATCACAACAAAATGTAAATATATTACTCTTTATAAATGCATATACTGATAACCGAATGACTGTATGTTATAATTCGATGACGGTTCCGCAAAAATTATAATGTATATTCTAATTGTTTATTTGGTTTAAGATATATAAACTGAGAGTGTATACTATTATTCAATTTTATTGGTAAAGACTTGAGTAATTACAAATTAGAAATACCAGTTGTACTTACCTTTTTCTTTCCACATTTTATTAAAAGTTACGTTTTGAAGAAATGTATGTTTCTGCATTGGAAAATCATATTCACTAAATGCTTGTGTATATTCAAAATCTACCCGTCGTGCCTGGACCACAATCGACATCAGTAAAGTCTCATTGTAAATCTACCAAAACTTTGTATAAGTAACACATACGTCTATTTTAGCTTCGTTAATTACTCTGAGGCAAATTAATACAGTTTTATAGTTTTGTAGTCTAGCAAGTCTTTGGTATCAAGTAATAGAAAAACTTTTAGTATAAGCATATTAGGATTAATGCGATTTTTGAAAATTTTTATATATACTATAAACATTAAGTAAACGAGAAGTATGACAATAAAATTTTTCAGCTTTCTTCTTTTTTCAACTTTCAACTTTTTAAATTTTCAACTTTCTGAGAGCACTATTTAATACATATTAATTTTTGTTTTACCGATCTGCATATATGTATTAGTGTTTGTACGCACACATCTAAATTGAAATATTAAATATGATCTTTAGTTACTGTATACTTTGTTTTAAAAAAATAAAATAAAAATATAAAAGCAAATTCGATNTGTATGTACTTACAATAGTTTAAATACTTATAAATAATAAACGTTGAAGGCTTCAATGTATAAAACAAAAACTTAGAATAAAACGGCCAATGTGAGCCTGGGACACAGTAAGTAGTGTGTAAAATATTTTCAGTAAAAAATAAAGAAAATTTTTTCCTGAAAATATTTTACACACTACTTACTGTGTCCCAGGCTCACATTGGCCGTTTTATTCTAAGTTAAATACTTATGTTGTACATATTAAATATTCATGGTATACAAATATAAACATATATATTACATATTTTTGTTATATAACTATGGTATTAGAATGCCATACATTTTAGTTCTAAATATTTTATATTGAAAAAAAGCAACAAAATTACAAATGCACGTATTACCTGATCGAATAGATAAACTCCGTAAAATGTCGAAAAACCTTCAACAAACCAAGGATCAGACTGCTTAAATCTAACTACCCAATTACTGAACATTTCTTGTATCACACTGCGTACAACCAAACATGTTACTTCTGTTTTTCTTATAATCGAATCTACTTCTTTATTATATGCAA